TTCCTTTCTTCATAGGTGACTGCTTAATTGCTTTTCTGATGTTGATAGAAAAGACATGCCATCTTTACAACATCACTAATGCCTTAAAAAACAAAGCAAAACACTAAGACACCGACATTGCATTCTATTATTTCTTGATGCGCACTGTGGATCTAGCCAGGATTTCTTATTCTATATCAAACATTTCTTTTTTTTCTGTTTTTTCAACTTTCATTTCCTAGAGCTCATTTTTGTTTCTAGTTGATATTTTATACTCTTATTTCTTATGATGAAATAATTCTCTGTTTTTAATTTATAATTTTGAGGTTTTATGTTCTTCCTTGTACCTCTTTTTATATATGTACCTACTGCTTTATCTTGTTGTTCATATAAACTATTTTCTTCATTTAGATTGATACTTAGTTATTAATGGTCACAGGTTGTCCTGGGAAGTTGGCATTAGCCTTCTCTGTTTTGTATACACAGTATGTTTTCTGCCAGCATCTTCTTTTTTTTTTTTTTTTTTTGGTTTTTATGAGACAGGGTTTCTCTGTATTGTTTCGGAGGCTATCGGTCCAGCCCGGCCTCGAACTCACAGGGATCCGCCTGCCTCTGCCTCCCGAGTGCTGGGATTAAAGGTGTGCGCCACCACCGCCCGGCTCTGCCAGCATCTTCTAAACTAGAATGGTCAGTTGGAATTTCTATATCTGCAAGTTATTGTTCTGTAGATTTTATTTACAGATTAAATTATTTAATTTTTCAAAAGAATAACTAAAGAACTAATAATACAACTATCAAATTTTGGGCTATAGCCTAAATGTGGCCTGTACCCCAAGGCTTCCCATATCAAAGGCTTGGTCCTCAGTCTGAAAGTGCTGAGGTAGTAGAACCTTTAAAAGTTGGGTCCCTTTGGAAGGTAACTGGGTCACCACCAGAGGCATTTCCCTAGGGGTTCTGTGGAAGAGTATTAACAAGAACAAGCTGTAATTTAAAGAAGAGAGAAGAAGAGGTTAAATGGAGAGGAGAAAAATTAAAATGCCAGGCTTACCGCTCCCTGCTCTCTGGCTTCCTGCCTCACTGTGTAATTCTTTATACATATGTATCTGTCAGGATTCCATCAGCCATGAGACTCTAGAGGCCAATCAAATGTGGCTACTCATCTCATACTTACTGAGCTAAGTAAACCTTGCTTTAAACATTACCCAGTCTCAGCTACTTACTATAGCAATATAAGACTGACTAATAAAGGAAGCATGGGGAATTAATTCACAGCCTTTTTCTTCTGGTCAATTTGTTGACAAATATTCTTATATTTTTGGTTGTGAGCCTAGCCTTTAACGGCTGAGCCATCTCTCCAGCCCTGTTGACAAATATTCTATTGTTAAAAATCACTGGCTTAGACTGATGTCCTTTATGTCTTTTCCAGGCTCTTTATAAGCCTAACATATCTTCCACTTCATATTGTACTCTTTCTTAACACAGATCTACATTCTGAGATCAGAATGATCTACTTACTACTTATTAAACTGCCATGGCAAATTCCTGCCTCCACATTGTCTTCAATATATAAGACCTTTGCTGCTGCTGATACAATCAACAGAGCAGCTCTGTCCTGTGTCCTAGTTCCCCTCACTATGTACCCATCCATGCTTTACCAGTGCTTAATAGCTTAGATACATTGTTTACATAATTAAAATTCACATCAGAACAGAATCAACAGACAGTTGTGATATTAAAGAACCTGGACTTTAGGCAAGGATTGCCTGTCTGTAACTTGACAAGCATGAAAATACTGAAACAAACAGGAAGGAGGTATGAGCCTTATTTAGAGCAGAAGAGAGAATCTTGGTGGTAGACTTATCTGTGCACAACTGATAGGAGGAACTTCTTGATCCATGGACTTACTGGGTTATAGTAGTAGCACAGCCTCACACAGCGATGGATGCAATCACATATTACAAGCTGATGTGGAATATATTTGCTTCCCTGTGATTTGGCTTCATGATCAACAAAAAATCATTGGGCTATTTGCTTCTCTATGGTGTATATACCAAATGCCTAAATTAGAAACATATCTACTTGACTACTGCATTTATACCATAAACCATAAGTTAATAAAACATTGTTCTTAAATCAGCCATCGGTTTCTATGACCTTGAGCTGAGTGAACTCATTTTGAGACTAGGGAAATATACTAAACAAAAGCCTGGAGATCAGATCCAAGTCCCTACTGCAGCTAATCAGCAAATCTGGTTAAAAACAAAGAGTCTCACTCTGTTTAGGCTGACATGAAACTCACTATGTAGTCCAGGCTAGCCTCAAACTCTTAATTGTGCCTCCTGTGTCAGCCTCCCAAGTGATGAGATTATAGGTAAGAGTCACCACGCTGGGACTATCTTCTGGCACTGTTTTCTTTTTGACACTTACATACACTCTACTTGCTGAAGGCCACTGAAGATATACTAAATCTCTTCTACCCACTAAGCTAACTCCCAAGTCTGTTACTAAATCTCTTCTACATCTGGTTTTCACATACCTTTCCTAAGATTTCTATGTACCCTAACCTCTGGCAGACACAAATGTGTTAACTACATACATTCAAGTTTCCATCTTTCCAATTTAGTCTTCCTTCTCCATCTTAGCAAATCTCAGTGTTAACTAATTGAGAAAATTCAACACAAATAACATCTTTTTATGGAGACTTTTCAATGTACGGCAAGCTACCAAATCAAAAATTAATAATGTTGATGATTGTGGCAAATAGCAAATTACCTTGAGACCAATTTATAACTTATTACATGCCTCATCAGTCTTCAAGAATCAGTAACATTATCTTGTCAGGGTTCCTTAATTGATATTAATCAGGAGTTGAGTTCAGACTCTCTGCATTAAAATACTATATGTACTGTCAATGTACAAGGAAATACTTAAATTTCATTTTGTACTCTAAATTTCAGTGACCTAGGAATTAACCTACTTTACTTAAGCATCACTCTACAGAAGATAAACATTTGTTTCTCATATAAAAGTATTTTTCCCATTAAGAAAGTGATCAACACTATATAAATAATAAAATTTTTAAATCTGTTCTGCTGTTAAGGCACTTATTTATTGTTCTTTATATTTTATTTGGGAGTCTTTGTTTTATCTCCTCTTTTATGTTCATTGAGGTCTACATTTATTTCATGTTTCTCCTGCAGACTTTCCTGTTCTCTTTATGTGCATCCCATGTTCTCACAAAGTTTTCTTTAAGCTAGGAGGTGGTGGTGCACGCCTTTAATTCCAGCACTCAGGGGGCAGAAGCATGGAGATCTCTGAGCTCAAGACCAGCCTGGTCTACAAAGTGAGTTCCAGGACAACCAGGGCTACACAGAGAAACCCTGTCGTGAATTTTTTTTAAAAAAAGTCTTCTTTACCATCCCACTCCACAGATCAGTCTCACTTTTGAACTCCCATTAAGAACTGAATGCCGGAAACCTCTTTTATTGCTACTGGACCTGTTGTATTATTTTACATGTATTTTACCATCCTTGAATATTTCTACATGTCAGCAGTATCTGGGCATAGCACAGACAATAAGTATTAATTCATTCAACTGGGACATTCATTAGGAAAAACAAAGTCAAAGCTGATCCTGAAAGAGAAAAAGAGTCTATTTTTAGTGTGGTCCACGAATCAGCAATCACCTGGAAGCTCACTAAGGCTGACTGTCAGGCCCCACCCTAGCTGTCTGGTCAGGAACTGCCTTTTAGGATTCCCACATGACCTGTTAGCACTTTCAGGTATGAGAAACACTTGTTCAGACTTTAGAAGAATGATTAGAACATTTAAGATATATGTAACCCAGTAACCCCAAATACTTCATTGTAATTGCTTATTTGTTGGGCTTCCTTATCTACTAACTGAAGGCTTGCTGAGGGCAAGAATTCTTTCTATCTTTCTCACCACCAGTGTTTCCACACCGGCCTAGAACACTCGGTATTTGTTTTCTTCTTCTTGAACGCATGAATGACTGGAAAAAATGAAAATAAACTGTTTCAGAAAGCTAATATAGGTAGTTCTTTTGTATAACACTATCTCACATACAGCCATACAAACCCCTTAATTCAACTATTAAACAGTTTTAAAATGTGCTGCGTTCTCTATTTTAGCGGCTGCATCGAATGTATTTGACAAAGCAAACAATTGATTATCATCTTGTCCTCTGAGAGAACCTCCAGGCGCCTCTTTTGCAAGTGAAAACGCTGCATTTTAATTCGAGTTATCTCCAATCCATCCTATATGCCTGCACAAGGGGGAGGATGAGAGCAGTAAAGATGGCATGGCAAGGCAAGGCAACAGCAATTCTGAATTTCTAGATATCTGGTCAGAATCTGTCTTTAAGATCCCCAGATGATCTGTTGGAACCTTATGGTTCGAGAAGCAATGGTGTAGACTCTAAAAGTATAATTAGGCTAGTCAACATATATATGACCATGATTCTTTAACAGAATACTTCAGAAAATAACTGTCAGTAGAGGAATGAAATAAGAGGAGAACCCCTGTCATTTTCAAGAGCAAAAGGTGATATCAGAAAATAGAGCGAAATGGACTAGCGATTACTTAGTGACAGAGGGTGGAAACACCACCAGACCAACACCAAAGCAGACAGTGGTTAGCAACGTACAAGAAACGTACCAGAAGCCACTTTCAGGTTCTGCAAAGAAGGAAGTCACGGGAGAAAGGGGAGTATTTTTGAGAATAAGATGGTACACAGTGGAGGGAAGAGGGTGACAAGGAAATAGGCTGCAGTGTATCCTATTGCTAAGGGAAAGCTACTGCAGATGCCGCTGCCCAGCCCAGCCCTCCCGAGGGAGGCAGCCCCTGCATAGGTGAGCGGCATCGCCCAACTCCGCTGGCCCTGCGGTGGCCGGAGCCATCTCCCCCGGAGCCTGCAAAGCCCTGGGTGGGTACCGAAAAGGGCGGACTGTGAGAGGGTGGGTAGGAAGAGGGGACGGATGCTCGGGTGCCCAGGTACCCACCTTGTCCCAACGCAGCCACTGCCCGATGGCCGTGTCGAGCTGGGGGTCCCCGGTGAGGTAGGGGGCGTGGAGCAGGTTAGAGTTCAGGTCACCATCTGCGTTCTCAGCCATGGCAGAAACGCGGCTATGCGGGCCCGAGGGGCGGGTAAAGACGCCGAGTCCGGGTGCCCTGGGTGCGCTCACCAGGGTGTAGACGCCCCTTCCTCGGCGAAGGGCATCGGCGACCAACCGCCCGTTCAGTCAGCGCCAGCTCCCGGCGCAGCTTCAGCGAACCGGGAGAGAGGGCGGAGACTGCCACCCGCCTCCCAGCACACCAGCTCCGGATCTCAGCTCGAACTGACTGAGGCGGGCGTGAGGCGAGAGAACAACAACAGTCCCAGATGTCTGGGTCGCCGCCTTCGCCCGCGCCGCCTTAGGCCCCGCCCCCGCGCAGCCTGCCCCGCCCCCGCCCGCTCCTGCCGACCCAAGCGCCCGAGGCATGAGGCGCGCTCGCGCCCGGAGCCTCCGCAGCGGCGTTTGCTTTCCGCTGAGGCAACTGTGCACAGCTGGCTCTATTTTTTTTTAACGCTGTTCCCCAGCTGTCTTTCCCTTGTTACCCGCCCCACACTCGCACGTGTGTCCCCACCCGGTGTCCCAGCGCCTCAAGCAGCGCGCCTCAGCGCTCTCTAGAAGAGTCCCCCGGCGCGCGCAGGCCCCACCCTCCTCGCCCCGGGGCTCCGTTTTACTTGGGAGACTTAGGTGGCGCGCGTGAAGCCTCATGGGAGTTGTAGTTTTTCCCCTTTCCCCGAGCTCGGAACACCCGTTGCCTTCCCTTCTCCTCAGAGGGGAAAAGCACCGCCTCAAGGCTGTTTCCTGATGCCATGCCCTAGCTTCTTAGCTGAGCTGCTCGGTGGTAGTTCCCTGCATTAACAAGGAATGTCGTGAGGAACAACTTTTATCAATTTGGTGCTTGACAGTTACTAGGTGTTTTCTGTCATCCCATCCATCCTTGGGAGCTAGGTGGTGTGCATATTCCACTCACTTTACACAGAAGGAACTGAGAGGCAAGCCGAATGTTCTAAGCAATAGCGTTCGGAAGAAATGAATCGGGGTTCCAACTGGTCGTCGCACCTCAGCTGGCAGGTGCTTTTACTTGGCTGCAACAGCAGAGTAGAGGTAGGGAGAACAAAATGTCTGGAAAATAGGTAAGGAGTGTTGTCAGAAGGTCTAGTCAGCATTTAACCCTATTTTAAGAATGAACAAACACTATAAAATACATAAGCTAATAGAAGTAGGGATACAGAGGAAAAAGGAAATGGACTCCCCCAAATGGAAATAATTTCTTCTCATCTTGGCCTCCTTTCTTCTATAAAATGTGTATCTTTCGGGTCACATAACTTAAGGCCTGAGAAATACTGAGGGCTTACCTATGGACCACTCGATTTTCTTTGTTTTTAAGACAGGTCTTCTTCTGTAGCTCTGGCTAGCCTGGGTCTCAGAGAGATCCACCTGCCTCTGCCTCCGGAGTGCTGGGATTTAAGGCAAACACCACCACCAACCCACTCCTCATCAGTTTTTGCTCTTGTAAGGAGTATATAATATTTATAGTATGACAGTACAGTAATTCTTTTTGTTTGTTTGTTTGTTTTTCGAAAAAGGGTTTCTCTGTGTAACCCTGGCTGCCCTGGAACCAGCTCTGTAGACCAGGTCGGCCTCAAACTCACAGAAATCTGCCTGCCTCTGCCTCCTGAGTGCTGGGATGACAGTATAGTAATTTAAGAGTGCTTTTAGAGTGTTCCTAGGCTCACAGAAAAAAAGACATAATAAATCCAAAGTATTCTTTTCATTCTTTTAAAATGCCATTTGCTAAAATAAAATCCAAAGTACTATCATAAGAAAGATTGTACAATTTCTGAAAAATAATGTGCCATAGCTGTGAGTTGCAGTTTTTGCCTTAAAAATTGTGTGTTTCTTTTAAACCTCATACAGGGTTCTTTTTAACCTCAGATGACCTGGGAAACAACCATGTGTCCAAGAAAGAAATTAATTGTTCACTATAATCAGAATTATTACCCATAGCAAATATTAAACAACTATTAAACATTTACTATGTGTTAAGAATTATGCTAGATGGGCTAAAAAAGATGACTCAGATGTTGAGGCAAGACTCACAGTCAACAAGACAAGAATTATTGTAGGAACCGATACTACAAGAATGTAAATAATTATTTGATTCACAAAATAAAATCTGGAGTTGGAGCCATGTTTCAGCTGTTAAAGCTAGGCTCACAACCAAAATGCCAAGAAATAAAATATAGAGATAGGTATGTGCAAGAATGTTCAGTCCATGATAAAGAGCAAATGGTTACTTTGAAGAGTGGGTGTAGCTGGGTGTTTTCTGTCCCGCCCATCAGTTCCTACAGTCACTTATAAAATTATCTCTCTGAAGCTTAATATTAATTGTAGTTGTTTGGCCAATGGCTCAGGCTTCTTACTGGCTAGCTCTACATATAAATTAACCTATTTCTAATATTCCATATTTTACCACATGTCTTGTGGCTTGTGAACTCATATCTTGCTTCCCAGGTTGCTACTTGACCTCTCCCTGACTCCATTCTGTCTCTACATGTCTCTGTTTGGATTTCCAGCCTGGCTCTATTCTGCCTGTCCATTGGCCAAATCAGCTTTATTTATCAACTGATAAAAGCAACACATTTTTTGAAGCATACAGAAGGACATTCCACATCAAATTGGAATACATTTGTCTGAAGTGATCAATGAAAGCATCAACCAGGAGGGACCTGCACTGGGATTTCAAGAACAGAAAATAAACAAGTCAAGAAAAAAGTAGAGGGCATTTCAACCCCATTGATAGTGATTCTTAAGTTGTATGTACTAGAAGATTGTTTAAAAACATACCTTATACTAATGGACATAATTCCCAGAGACTCTGAATTTGGGTAAACCTTCGGTAGCTCCATGAAAATATCTATTGATTGTGACCTAAATGGTCATAATTACAGGACACATTAGGACAAATGTGTTGGCATCTTCTGGGAGCATATTAAGAAATGCAATTTTTCAGTACTCAATAAAGTTCTACTAGAGCACATTTACATTTTAACAAGTCTAGTAGTTTATATTTAAGTATTGTAAATAGTAGTTCTTATAAGATAATTCTTTTTAAATATCAAGTAATGGTACCAGATCAACAACTTTCAAGAGATGATGAAATTATGTAGGACATGTAGTAAAGACAGCAGGAATACAGACTTTGATTTAATTCCTTTTCTAACAGCCTTTCCTTCCTTTCATCAGCAAAATCCTCACAAACATTAACTGGTTACCTGAATCTTACACAGAAGATCAGGCTTATTGTTTAGACATTGGAAGGTAACCAGGGATACCTCAGCCTATCAACTCTAAGAACACTGCTTAAGTGTGTCCAAAAGGGGGAGTCAGGAAAAGCTCAGAAGCTTTTGGACAAACTGGGGTTTATCCAAAGAATCCTGTATCTTTACTGTGTTTTTTTTATAAGTTTGTCAATCCTTTGTTTATGAAAGTGGGTTCTTGGTTCTCAGAATGGGAATTCAGTCTGATAAATTAATTTTGTCATTAGGTGGCCACCACAAAGTGGCTATAACATCACTATGTGGTAAAATTGTTTGGGACCACTGTAATATAGGAGTCATCCTTTGATATAAACATGACATTTTACATAACTATAATATAATCAATATGTGTATACTTTGATTTATTGTATGTATATATATTATATTGTATCATGCATAATTATGGTTGTCATTGAGTTAGTCAGCTTTCCATTACTGTGACAAAATGTGTAAAATCAATCAACAGAAAGAAAGGTTAATTTAGGTCTACAATTTAATAGACCACAGTCTATGGCCATTGGCTCTGTTGTTTTAGGTGTGTGAAAAGGCAGTGTTACAGCAGGGAGCACAATACAGAGTAAAGCTGCTTACCTTATGGTGGCCAGGAAATGAGAGCTAGGAAAAGGCTGGGGGTCTCAGTATGCCCCTCAAGAACATGGCCCAAAAACATAATTTCCTAACAATAGGCCCCATCTCCTAAAGGCTTTACCACCTACAACAGACTGGGGTCTAGTCTTTGCAGAATATTAAAGAAATTGAAATTGTAATATATTTATATGTTAGCATATATGTGTGATAGCCATAATATTTAAGTATATAAAACTTACCCTTAAGAGCCAGGTACTGTGGCTACATAATCACAGCACGAGGTGGAGGCAGGAGGATTTGGAATTTATGGTGATCCTGGGCTACATAGTGAGCTTAATGACAGCCTAGACTACATGAGACCCTCTTTTCTTCCCTGTCTCAAAAACAAAACAAAAGTCTAAATGGTTCAAAAAATACCATTTGTATACATACATTTATTATCTATATTAGATGTAGGTAAATAATAAATAATAAAGAAAATGGGAAAATGTCATTAATAAATAAATCTGGGTAAAACAAATATGGCTATTCTTTGTGCTACTTTTATGACTTTTAAATTATTTCTAAATAAAAAACTTCAAGTGTAAAAGAAATATGCTTCTTTGTCATTTTGAAAAATCTAATTAAAATACTAGAAGCTCTCATTCTGTTAAGGTTCTGATATTGGTGAAGGAGTGTACCAGCTACAAGATAGATGAACTTACCAGCAAGAATGAGGGCAAACAAGAAAAAAAAAGCCAGTTTCCCTCTTCCATGTCCTTTTATCTGGGCTGGCCATGTTTAGGCTGGGTTTTACTGCTTCAGATAATCTAATCAAGTAAATTTCTCAGAGGAGTGTTCAATGGCTTATGTTTTATTGGACCCCAGATGCAGTCAAATTGACAAACAAGATAAGTTGTCACAACCATCCCCTCTAAACCTCATCAGGTCCTGGAGGTAGTACCAGTAAATACAACTCAGGAACTAGAAAGTAAATCCTTTTAAATTTTAAATTACATGCTTATTATTATGTGTATGTGCAAGGCATGTGCATGTGTGTGTGTGTGCGTGTGTGGCAGGGTGCAACAGCATATGTGTAAAGGTCAGCATACATCTGTGGGAGTCAATTCTTTCCTTCCACCATGTGGATCCTTAGGGTGGAACTTGGGTTATCAGGCTAGGTGGCAAGTACCTTTACTTGGTGGTTTGCCAACTAAGACATTAAGTTTTAAAGAAATTGTCATTTTGTTCTGTGACCGCCAAGGCATTAAGTCTTAAAGAAATTGTCATTTTGTTCTGTGACCACTATGAAAAGAATGTGTTCTCTTCCTGTTGCTTACAGAGATACTTGTCATAAACCCTAGTTAACTTTGCATTAAGGAAGTGTGTGTGTTGCCTGGTGGTGATTGCACATGCCTTTAATCCCAGCACTTGGGATGCAGAATCAGTGGATCTCTGTGAGTTCAAAGCC